TCTCCTCCATTCTCCTCTCGGGATCTTGGGCACACATGCACATGCGCCCGGTTTGAGTTTTTTAAGCCACTGGGTCCGGGACACGAACCACAGTTGACTACATGGAAGTCCAGCGACATAGCCATTACGCTAACTCCTGGTCCCTAAACTTTATTTTTTGAGAGAGATTTTTGCTATAGTGAGCATGCGCTCGCCAGCGAGACAGAGAAAAAACGAGAAATCACCCCCCCAGGGGGTAGGGGGTATGGCCAGGCCACAATCCCTTCTCTTGGCATCCTGGGCACACATGCACACACATCCAGTGTGGGTTTAAGCTGCTGGGTCCAGGACTCAAACTGTGGTTGACTACGTGGGAGTCCGGCGTAATAGTTACACAGACATAACTATTACACCATCTGCTGGTGCCATCTGTAAACTTTTAAACTGCTTTGATATTCTGTCTCGCCAATTTCATTTCTACTACCAACACATCTTTTTCTGTTCTAGTTAATTCGGAAGTATAATTTTTTTTAAACATTCTCTTAGAACTCTTGATAACAGACTTTCTTAAGTTTTTAAATTTAACTTTATTATTATTTTCTATCAGAGAGAGAGAGAGAGGAAAAGTGAGAAAGCAAGCCACCAGGTCTGGGACTTAAACTGCGGTGGGTCATGTTAGAGACCAGTGGCTTTAACCACCATGCCACCTTAAGTATAATTTTAACAGGGCTTTTTGAAAACAATCCTGTTGTCTTTTGGCAAGCAAACAAAACTCAAATCATTATTCAGTTATCTTCTGTAGGTATCTGTCCCCCAGCTCCCACCAGAGGAAATCAAAACACTCTGTCCAGGGATCATAAACTCAGAACAGAAAATATAGTGAGAAATAAACTGGGCCAGCTCTGTGGTCTGGTGGTTTGAGCTGAAAGGCACATGGCTAACCATGCTGTTTCGAGTCCCAGTCCCGGCAGCTTGAGAAACACACCAGGCCTGTTTGCGTGCATGCCCAAAATCCAAAAGGAGGGGAGAGATGGAGAAGGGATTTTGGCATGACCACTCCCATGGGGGATCTTTCTACTCTGTCTCTCTCTAGCAAGGGCACATACCCTCTGTGTGTGCTAATATATGTGTGTGTGTGTGTGTATAGACACTTTGGAAGACTGTATGACACTTTCTCACAAAACTATGTCCCTATCATAACACCCAGAAATTGCACTCCTTGTTACTTACCTAAAGGAGTTGAAATCTTAGTCTGCACAAAACTTGCATACAAATGCTTATAGCTATTTTATTTGTAATTGCCAACACTTGGAAATAAACAAGATGTCCTCCAGCAGGTAAATGGAGAAGTAGCCTGTGGTACATTGGACAATGGACTATTATCCAGCACTAAATATTGGGTCACCACAAGTCATGACACAGCTTTGCACAGGAAAACAGAGAAATGCGTCATGACTTTTCCGACCACCCAATACCTTTCTCTTCTTAATTCATTTTGCTATGTGAACCTAAAGCTATTCTGAAAAATAAATGAATAAATAAATAAATAAGATACCTCTGGAGGTCAAGAGTTAATTAAATCTAGTATGCAAGAGTTCCCCTCATAAATGCAGCACTTAACTGCTTATCTAATACCTTTATCTCCAAGGTATCCTTTTCCCTAAATATTCTCAGTTCTTTGACCTTGAATGTCGCAGTGTTGATGTATTAATGCTACCATTCCAAGGGAAAGATGTTTGAAATAGTTTTGTTCTAAGAATTCTTTGCAGTCAGTAACCAATTTAGACAAAAAGGAATGTGAATCCCCTTCAATGTAATTATTAACATAAATTAGCATTTAAGAAACACTATAATCCTTTGGGAAATAAGCCAAAGTATTATTTATTTATGACTATTTACATACTTACAAATTAGTTTCATCCAATACATCATCCTGAATATTATAAAATGAGTATTATATAATGGAAGTAAAAATCCACATTTAACAATTCATGTATAATCCAACTTTTAGAACATAGGCTAGTACCAATTTGGATTCCATAAATTACAAAATCTTGTTTAGAATTTTTGCTAGCCAAAGAGCACAGTAAACTCAACAGTATATTAAAGTAATTTAATTGACCCTGAGTATTACTAATTTGCATAATTTGAATATACATAATACACTTTTATCTGTATTCTTATTTACTTACACTTACTAACAATAGTACCCTTGCTGTCTGTATTCACCCATCTCTATTTTCTACTTCATTAACTCTCAAGACAAAGAGGAATAAAGAATAGGATAATAATAGCAAGAGCTCAGAAAAGGAAATTACTGGCATAGATAGCACAAAACTTTTACAATTTTGAATGTCTGTTCGACAGCTTAGGTCCAGGGTGCTTAACACACTTTATAACAGAGGGTCTCCACCTGAATACCTGAGCACCTTCTGTCAACTACGGCTGATGCTGAACTATCCTTCCTGCATTTTTCTCATTCTCTTTCACACAAATTAAAATGTTAAGGAAGTGTACAAGCTTATAACATACAATAATTTGAATTAAAACACATAGAATGTAATAGTAATGTGGAGATCTTCAGAAGAAAAAAAAAAAATCACAAAACCACCATAGCAACAGTGCTGAAGACCTGCTTTTCTACTATAGCAAGCTTGAGCGAGAAAATGCTAGTGTGGTAGGTACAAGGGAATGGGCAGGAAGACAGGAAGACTACCAGGCAGCTGGATGGCTGGCAGGGGAGACTGTGGCCTTAGACTGGCGGTCAGCATTACTGATGCTTAACCACCACCGTGACCGCCTGGCTAAGCTGCCAGGGTGAGAGAACTCGTGAGTTACTTTTCTGGCCCCCTGTACATCTGGGAAATCTAAGGACAAAATAAACAAGAGGGTGGGAAGGGAAAGTTGAATGTGGAGTCACACATGCTCTGATCCCTTCCAAAGAGATCTCTGGGCCTAAAGAATCACATCTTGTATCTCTCTGTCCATCGGCCCTTCTCTAACCCTCTTTACTCACTCCCACTGTTGACCCAAACAGCGTGAAGGCTTACCAGGTTCCAGGGGCAGCAAAGGTTTCAACCTAGCCATGGAATAACTGCCACTATTTGAGGGTCATAGGAAAACTGCCATTTAATGAGATGTCCATGTTTGAGTCTATTAGAAAAACCCTCATTCAATGAGATATCTGTCTCTTGGTAAAACAGAAAAGGAAAACTCAGATATTTTTAGTATCTGAGAAATTTCCAACAACAGAGAAAATGGCTGAAATATTTTAAGTATGAGGCATATTTTCCTTCAGTTGGCAACGAAAGACTATGTTTTTGTCAGACAGCAATGTCATGATGAAATACTATTAAAAAAGGATGGCTTTTTTGAAGTAATGGTAGAAAAAGGCTTTTCTTTCTTACACATGAAGAAGGAAAAAAGTAATCTATGGCTCCTAGACAAAAGGCCATTACAGCATTTGGTATATATCTCTTTGATTTATCATTACTTTTAATAATACAGAAGTCTGAATTTCACTGAACAATCCTTATACAGTGCTTAGAAATTTAGAAATGAACATACATAGTTTCAAAATTAATACTTAAACTCTTCTCATCTTTAGGTAAGAAATAACAGCAATCAAGCAATTACTTGAAATAATATTAATACAAAGTAAACTTGTAAAGATAATGAATAAAACCTTCGACCCCTTTTATAAAACTGCCAGAGATTGTGCTAATTCTTTTACATCTAAAGAATTATATGGAAGAGTAAATAACAATTAAATTATATTTATAAGAAATTATCTTCAAAAAGTTATTTGACAGTAGATATATAGAGTTCAACACATAAGAAAAAAATCTATTTAATTTTGATTTATATAAATCCAAAAATGGTAAAATATATTATTTGAGGAGAAAAAAAAGGTTTTACTATATGAGCCAGATTGAATATAAAAGTTCCTTTGAAAATATTCATAAAAAGGCAGAATGGCACAAAGTTGAAAAAGAGTGTTTAATGCAAACTAAGTAAGAAGTAATATTAATTAAAATGACAGCATACCATCAAATAGGCAACAGTGTAAACCTCTCTCAAAGTTTTATATACTACAGTCTGAAGAACTCGAATGGAAGCAGAAACAATGGCTGTTGTCAAAGTTCATTCTTGGAAGTACTAAATAACAATATACAAAAATAACATGAATACTTCTGATTTAAAACCTACTTGAATCATTTGTCCGTCAGCTGTCATAAAACGATGAAAAATTGAATGTATTGCCCCAATGATCATAGTAAAGATAAACGTGCGAAATGCCAAAAATTATTTTAAGAAAAATTTAAAAAGTATAATTATCCAACTATGTGTGTACGTGATGACCAAAAAGAAAATGATAGAGTCTGGAATTTTGGCCCACATTGTTAAAAACGCACGGGGCGGTGGAACGTCTTCCCAAGTAGGTGTTTAGGTCAATTGCTGAGCAAGCTGCTTGGCTTCAGACTGGAGATCATGTGCACACACAAAAAGGCCAGCAGGTGGCACAGTGGTTAAGGTGCTGGACTCCCACATGGCCAACCATGGTTTGAGTCCTGGACTCAGTGGTTTGAAACTCATGACGGGCATGTGTGTGTATGTGCCCCAAATCCCAAGAAGACAATGGAGGAGAAGGGACTGCAGTATAGCCATCCCCCCGGGAGGTGACTTCTCCCTTTCTCTCTTACTCTTGCTTTAGCCAGCGCACATGCCCTATAGCAAAAAATCTCTTTTAAACAAATAAAACAAAACAAAATGAAACCTTCACAGACTGACAGGGCAGAGATGAAGCAAAAAGAAACAATGCTTAAAAGCATATTCGACGAATATGTTCTTTGACGTCTTTAAAAAAGGAAAGAAACTAAGTACACAGTATTAAATTAGATGTCTTTGCACATGAATTTCTACCTTATAAATTTGGTTTATCAAATTGTGCTATAAATATATTTGTCTATTTTCTTTTGTTCAGAACTATGACACATAAAATTACGTGATTATAAAATGAATTTTTTTTCTTTGCATCTACTGAAATGACATCAAGTCTTCCTGGACAAAGAAAAATTGCAGCTCACAGAAAAACTATAAAAACTGCTGGATTCATCATAATTACTCAATTCATGAAGGTACAATCTCTTCTTCAACATCAAGCTAAGAGTGAGGCAAAGCCCCGGCCTCCTCACATGGTCCTCGGCGGCAGGCGCTGTTTATACATGCCTGCGATGGCTTTGGCCGCGCTGTAGATCATCTGTCGGCGGGACATGCCAGTAAAAGCCGCGTGCCAATCAGTCCGGCTGACATTTAGTAAGCTCTTTTCCAGGACTTCACCCACTGTGACCAAAAGGCCTGACCATCTAAGATTGTAGTCCTGGGGAGTGAGACTTTGAGCCTATAAGAGAACAAAATTGATATTACTCACCATACATTTGAGAAAAGCCACTGGAACTATGATACATGACATTTCCAAGTTTCTCAGGTTACTTTTGGATTATGACAAACAAAAAAAAGCAAAGCTATGATACCAACTGAATAAAGTTGTGAGATTTTAAAGGAAAATAATAATATACATCACTACTTTGTTTAAAATGTTCCCTTTAAGCTCATTTTGTAGTTCTAATTTAATCTTAGTCCTAAATCAATTAGGTTATTGGGAGTCCTCTGTTTTTTTTTTTTTTTTTTTTTTTTTGAGAGGTTTTCACCATAGGGCGCGTGTGCTCGCCAGACAGACAGAGAGAGACATAGAGACAGAAAGCCAGAAGTCACTGCCCACGGGGGATGGTCACGCTGCAATCCCTTCTCCTCCATTCTCCTCTCAGGATCTTGGGCACGCACGCACACGCACCCGGAGTGAGTTTTAAGCCACCGGGTCCGGGACGCGAACCGTGGTAGACTACCTGGGAGTCCAGCGACATAGCCATTACGCTAACTGCTGGTTCCCCTTCTCTGTTTTTCTATGCAAACATGCATCATGACTTTCCTGACAACCCATTATTTCCTTATTCATTTATGTATTTTAAGGCGTGTGTGTGTGCGTGTGCGCACATGTATGAATGCGCACACACATCCCACTGCTAATAATCAGGATACCACAGGGGCTGTTTTTGACTTGTACTTGGCAGATATGTCATAGGTCCCTCCCAATATTAGTATATATTAAGTCCTATCTGTTCTTTGAGCATCATGTCTATTTCTTTCCAATATAGATTCCTAAAGATAAAATAAAATGTTCTTTTGCAACAGTCAGATATATAGCACAGAGGTCTGCAGACTTTCCTGAAAAGAACCAGTGGACATTTCAGGCCCCGTGGGCCAGACGGTCTCTGCTGCGCCTACTCAACTCTGCTGGCGCGGTACCAAAGCAGCTGCAGACAACAAGCAAACAGACAGCACTGCGGCGAGTTATAGAAACAGCTGCTGGACAGCCGCAGGCCGGTGTTTGCTGACCCAGATCTACAGCAGTGCCGATGCGATGATAGGAGCACGCTTAAATGATAAGGTGTCGAACGTTTTATCATTAGATCTGAGGTTTGCTGTGATTTTCAAGGATGCACATACCTTTCTAATCCTAATTAGCTAATTAGAGTTATTGTATGGTTGCGATTTCTCTTTTTAAAATTTATTTGTTTATTATTATTTTTAAATTTGCTGTAGGACATAAGTGATCACCAGAAAGAAAGAGAGGAAAAGAGGGAGAAAGTGAGAAAACAAGTCACCAGGTCCAGGACTTGAACCACAGTCCAGCACCTTAACCTCCATGCCACCTGGTGGTCTCCAGTATGGTTGCTATTTCTACAAAATACTTTCAACTCAAGACCAGTAGATGGCGAAATGGTTATGTAGCTGGACTCCCATGTAGTCAACTGTGGTTTAGGTCCTGGACTCAAAGGCTTAAACTCATGCCAGGTGCGTGTGTATTCATGTTCAAGATCCTGAGAGGAGAATGGAAGCGAAGGGGTTGAGGGGAGGCCATCCTCTCTGGGGGGGTGAGGGGAGAGGAAGATTTCTCACTTTCTGTCTCTCTGTCTTTCCAGTGAGCACATGCTGCCTATAGCAAAAATCTCTCTTTAAATAAAAAATACTTTCGACTCTATTGAATTCTTTGTTTCTTTAATCTATTCATATATTGAATTACATAAATTGCCCTGCTATTGTTGAACCATCCTGCTATTCTTAAGACAAATGCTTCATGGTCAGGATGTAATGTTCTTCTAATAATTTCTAGATTTTATTTATTAACTGTACAAACAATTTTTACACTTAGCTCATAAGTGAGACTGGACTATTATTTTCTAGGGATTAGGGGCAGGCTAGTTTCATAGAATACACTGAAAAATTTTCTGCCTCTAGTTTTGATACTCTATTAGCATAAGAATCATTGGTCCTTGAATGTTTTATAGCACTCATTTATAACACCATTAGAACTCAGTGATTTTTTGGAAGTTAGATAAAATTCTTCTGCTATAATGCTTCACTGGGATAATCAGACTGAATCAAGTGAAACTGACGATGTTTAACTGTTTTTGGCTGTCAGAGAGAGCAATTTCATACAGTGAAGTCACACTTATTCTTGAATCAACTACAACAAAATTTGTATTTTCCTAGAAATGCTTATCACTTTATCCTATTTTTCTAATTTTTGGCCTAACAGTAAGCATCACTTACAGCCTGTCAATCACCTGAATGCGCGATTGAGTTTAATGTTGCTACCTACAAAAAAGATTTCTTAGACTTCTGAAAATAGACTATAGTATAAACAAGTTTCAGTAAAATCTCAAAATTCTAAGGATCAATCCTTAGTCCCCTATCTAAACTATAACCTTTTAAAATGGCCATAAAGTTGTTTTCAGGAATTTTATGAAAACACATGCCAAGTTTTTATGTAATATATATGTGAGTTTTCTTGGGAGGGAAAACAATACTTTCATCAGATTTCAAATGTCTTTAAGTCCCAAATAACTTTAAGAGACTTTTGAAATTACATTTAATGTTGCATGAAAGTATAATCAGGGAACCAGCAGTTAGTGTAATGGCTATGTCGCTGGACTCCCACGTAGTTGACCGCGGTTCACTTCCTGGACTCGGTGGCTTAAAAACTCATGCTGGGTGCATGTGCATGCATGCCCAAGATCCCAGGAGGAGAATGGAGAAGGGATTGCGGCGTGACCATCCCCGCTGGGGGATGATTTCTCGCTTTCTGTCTCTGTCTCTCTCTGTCTGGCGAGCGCCATGTACCCTATAGCAAAAAACCTCTCCAAAAAAAAAGAAAGAAAAAGAAAAACACACCAGGCACATAAGCATGTATGCCCAAAAATTTCAAAAAATAGGGATTTGGGAAGAGAAATGGAGGAGGGAAGAAGCAGAGGAGCGAAGACCACGCTATGTCAATGCCCCACTGAGGAGTGCTTCTACCCCTCCCTCTTTCTCTGACGAGCACATGTACCTCTGGAAAGATTTTTTTAAAAAAAGTAAAATTGTGAAGCAAAATTTTATGAAGTGAATGATAGGAAAAGGTCAACAAAATACCATTTAACAGTACAGAGATTCCAATGGAAATACATACTTATATTCCATTTCACTGATGAAAAGGTTTAGACAAATCCTTTAGAGAAACAGAATAAGAATCAACATTTATGCTCACATTCTTCTGAAAACTCTGTGGATAGGGACATTATTAAGTCCACTTTTCAGTCAACAAGCCAAGCCTGCAGACACGTGCCCACCACCGAAGCTTCCAATACTGACTCGTTACTAACCGTGAACAGCCAGGGAGGAAGATCAAATCAAGAGAAAGAAAAGTAATGGCGGGATAAAAACGTGAGGCAAAGGGGAGAGTAATGAGAGAACGAGCAGGAGAGGGGCATCTCTTCCTAATCTCAGGCTAGGGAGCATAATTTAAAAAACAGAGAGGAAAACAATGATCACCCTTTCGAAGATAGTTGGAAAACAAACGTAGGGAGGTATTAAAATAAGATGGCAAGACAAGGAAATTGAAAAGCAAAGAAAAAGTCTATATAAGAGGAAAGACTAAAAATCAAGAACATCTTTCTAACAATAACACCACCAAAAATCACTTTTTTTTTGAGACGTTTTTGCTATAGGGCGCGTGTGCTCTCTGGAAAGACAGAGAGAGACAGAGAGACAGAAAGCGAAAAATCAACCCCCAGGGGGGGATGGCCATGTTGCAATCCCTTCTCCTCCATTCTCCTCTTGGGATCTTGGGCACGCACGCATACGCGCTCACTTTGAGTTTAAGCCACCGGGTCCAGGACTCGAACCGCGGTCGACTACATGGGAGTCCAGCAACATAGCCATTATACTAACTGCTGGTTCCAAACATCTTCTTATTTTGAAAACAATACTGCAAGTTTCTGTGGAGCACAAAGACAGAGCATGGGAGAGCACTCACCTGCTGCACAGATTCCAAAGGCACCGGCGTGGCTTGTGTGAACGTCTCGAGATGAATGCCATGGACAGGGTCTTCAACCACCAAACACCCGATGTCAAACCACCTGCGACAGAACACAGGAGTTTCAAACTGCTTACATGCTACATGAGAGTTACGGCAGAGAGACTAACCGAATACACCAAGTACCGTCATTCAGATAAAACGCTAACAGATTTCAAAAGGGCAATGTTTTTCTGATCAATTTGCTGGAGGATAAGCCACAAAAACAAGAGAAAAAAATTACTCTGTTGGCTTAATTCTACAAAGAAATGAAGAGGGAATAACTACAAAGAAAAAATAATTAAAAATTACTTATCATGGAAAATATTTTCTTGCTAAAATGGGGGAGAGTAAGTGGAAGCAGGGTTTTTCAAATTTGCAATAGATACAAATTTATACTCACTTGAACACACAACTCGCTTACATGAATAATATTTTTTAAAATGTCACTTGCCAAAATATGGCAAGTATTATATTACCAACCCTGTCAATAGTAAGTAACCAACTAGCAAAATCACTAGCAAATCAGACTAAGTTCATTCAGAGGAAATGACAAATAATCCTCTCAGTACTGACAAAGCCTGAATTGTTCACAATATGTCAGTCTAATAAAATTAAGGAAACTTTCTTCTATTTAAAGATGCTTAAAAATGACAGAAAGTGATATATTTTAAAATTGACTTCATTGAAGACAACTATGTCACAACCAGAATTTTATCTAATTATTGGGTTGCTGGAAAAGTCCTAACATATTTTACATGGAAAACCAGAAAAATACATCATGACTTTTCTGACAACCCAACAGAATCATGAAATAATCAGAAGTCCTGAAATCATGAATTTAAACAATAAAAGGATAGCAGAGCAGAAAAAGGTTCACCATCTCTATTTTTAAAAATATGTAGATCCTGGGGACAGCAGATGGCGTGGTGGTTAAGGTGCTTAACTCCCACATGGCTGACCATGGTTCAAGCCCCCACCCAGTGGCGTGTGAGTCACACTGTATGCCCAAAATCCTCAGAGGGAACTGGAGAAGAGACTGAGGCATGGCCATCCTCCCAGGAGTGAGTTCTACCTTTCCCTCTGTCTCTGTCTCTGGCAAGCACATGTGCCCTATGGCAAAAACCTAAAATAAAAAAAAGAAAAGAAAAAGAAAAGAAAAAAATGTTGAGGGGCAGCAGGTGGTGTGTTGGTTAAGGCACTGAACTTCCACATGGCTGACTGTGGTTCAAGTCCCGGACCTGGAGTTCTGCTTTCTCACTTTTCCTTTTTCTCTCTCTCTTCCTTCCTCTCTCTCTAGTGAGTGCACATGCCTATAGCAAATTAAAATAATAATAAATAAAAGTACTTTTTTTTTAATAAAAGCTGATCCTAGGGACCGGCAGTCGGTGTAATGGCTATGTCAATGGATTCCCATATAGTCGACCGCAGTTCGAGTCCTGGACCTGGTGGCTTAAACTCATGCCGGGCATGTGCGTGTGCACGCGTGTCCAGGATCCCGAGAGGAGAATGGAGGAGAAGGGATTGCGGTGTGGCCATCCCCCTCGAGAGGGGGAGGGGTGATTTCCTGCTTTCTGTCTCTCTGTCTCTCTCTGTCTTTCTGGCGAATGCTTGCGCCCTATAGCAAAAACCTCTAAAAGAAAAAAAAAAAGGTGATCCTATAAAGTATAATGAAATGTAAAATAGTAAACCAATTTACATATTTGAAAAACTAATAAAGTAAAATAGAGAGTAAAATAAGCAACTGTGCTGAATGTTAAAATGGCAGTTTATAATGTCTACATTATTCATATCCTAAAACTGTTTGAATTAAGAACATTAACGACATTTATTTTATTTGTTACATTAATCAGTGGGCTTTCTTGGGGGGGTATGACAACTTTCTCAGTCAAGATAATATATTCGTGGCCCTGCTACGGTGGTGTAGGCAGCAGCACTCAGGCTGCCTGCAGTTGAAGGCAAATGACCAACAGCAGGTTGGGATTCCAAGTAGACCTGAAACGTGGTGGGCGCATGCATCCAAGATCCTAGCTAGCCAGTTAGGGAAGTGAACCACAGTGTGACGAGATTGTCTAGGGTTAGGCTATTCCTCTCTCCCTTTCATGCGTGTGCAATCTCTTGAACTGTCATACTCTCTCTCTCATGAAAGAAATAAAAAAGATAATGTGTTTATGAAGTTTCCACAAAGCCAAGCATAGCTAAACTTACTTTGCATGCTCTGTGCAAAATAATGTCTACCGGGAGACAGGGAGTAACGTACTGACCAAGCTGTTGGGTGTGTCCTGCAATGTGGCCAGTGAAGGTGTGAGGAGAATGCCTTCTCTGTCAGTGAATGCACAGCAGACTCGAAGGTCTCCTGGCTCTCTAAAATGCCAGTGGGATACTGAACGTTTCAGCCAGGATATCTGCTACCATATTCTTTTCAACTCAGTAAATCTAAAACTGCAATCACTGTCATTCCTACCAAAACCTCTTCCATTTCTGTCACCAATCCTTCGACTACGGCCCCCACTCCTGGGTCCCCTAAATTAGGGAGGGGTAAGAGAAGTTTTCCGGACTAGAGATGGTGAAAGACAAGCCCCGAGGACCCTGGTCCCTCTCCCACTCCATGTGGTTGGTGACTTAAGATGAACTTGATCAATCCTATCTGAAGCTGATGACTTGAAAAGGCCTTAAAAACTGTGGTGCCAAGAAATTTAGATTTCATATAGCAGGAAAAGATGTTCAGTAGGATCTAGGAAATCACTCTTTCAGCTTAATGCTATTGGTATACCAATTTGCGCTACATCAAAGACAGCTGTCACCAATTCACAGAAGAGACATTCTAGATATTTTAAGGTCATTTTTGCATATTTAACATGTAACCCGAGATTTTAACACCAAAAGCTACATAGCTCATCTCAGAATGGGGATGTTCAAGCTTTCACTGGCATTTTTCAACATAGGGTTTATTATGTATAAAGCTAACTTTTCTCATTTGGCATGAAGTGATAAAAATCTCATCCATAGTTGAAACACTAGTCTATAGTAGCTCTATTTTTGTTAGGGGCCAAACGCATTTGAGATTTCTTCTTTTGGCCGGCCTGCTCTTCCTGGATTGGACTTTTCTTGCCTCCATTGTAAGCGTGCATTTTTTCGACTTTGTCTTCTGTGCATTTATTTTCTGCAGGAGCAATGAAGAGAAAAGTAGCCAAAGAAAGAAATAGGAAGTGTCTGGTACCCTGGACTCGCTCTGCACTGTCCTGTTCTCCCTCCCTCCCCACTCTGAACCTCGCTATCACACCCATTCTTTCCTCTCTCTTCCTGAATCCCTACTAGAAAATACGAACAGACTTCTAATACTATTACTATCCATAATCTCTATAATATGCTATTCTTCTGCTCAAAAGGTATTTAATGGGAAAAATACCATATCTAACTATGACAGAAGAGTTTATGGCTGGCCAGTGCTCCCAGTGAAATGCCAGATGAGTTAGACAAATCATACACTAAAGGTATCAAAGAGCTGGAGAATCGAGGCGCACAAAATGGAGAGAACATCTCAAAGGAGAATGAAGACCACCGGGGGACCCTGAACACAACCGGGCCTTGATTTAGCTCCAAGTACACCAGACTACCTTCCTTCCTCACACCCACACAACTCTGTTTACTTGAGGAACAGATGAACCTTCTCAAGATCACGTGAAGCCTCTGGAGTATTTTATGTACAATGTCTGGCTGTCGAAGACTACTAGGCAATCAGAGAGACAGCATGACATCATCAACCCCACAGCAAAAGAAGACCAAAGCAGATTCTGAGTGAGCCCAGACACTGGAATGAGTAGACAAGGACTTTAAAATAACTATGATTAATATATCCAAAGAAGGAAAGGTAAAGATAATCAAACAGACGAAAAGATGTAGATATTCAAAGGAGGTTGAACCTCCTTTTTTTCTTTATTTAAGACAGATTTTTGCTATAGGGCATGTGAGCCACTGGAGAGGAAAGAGATAGAAAGAGAGGAACCTCGCCACTACCACCTCCAACCATCGAGGGGTAGTCATAACACTATCCCCTCAGAGATAGAAAGAGAGGAACCTCGCCACTACCACCTCCAACCATCGAGGGGTGGCCACACCACAATCCCTTCTCCTCCATTCTCCTCTTGGGATCCTGGACACATACACACATGGCCCGGAGTGAGTTTTAAGTTGTTGGGTCTGGGACTTGAAAAGCGAAGTTCAGGGACCAGCAGTTAGTGTAATGGCTATGTCGCTGGACTCCCATGTAGTCAACTGCAGCTCAAGACCCAGACCCAGTGGCTTAAATGCACATCGGGCACGTGTGCGTGCATGCCCAAGATCCCGAGAGGCAAGTTAAGGAGAAGGGATTGTGGCGTGGCCATCCCCCCTGGAGGGTGATTTCTCGCTTTCTGTCTCTCTGTCTCTCTCTGTCTTTCTGGTGAGCACACACGCCCTATAGCAAAAACCTCTCCAAAAAAAAAAATAAATACCAAAAATGAAGTCCAGTGACATAACCACTATGCCATCTGCTGGTCCCTAAGCTGAACATATTTTTAAGGAAAGAAGAATTTGATGTGTACGTTTAACAGCAGGCTGGATACAGGAGAAAGCAAGACTAGTGAACCTGAAAACAGGTAAACAGAAAATGTCCAAACTGAAGAACAGAGAGAAGAGTAGGAGGAGAAAAAAATGACACTGGAAAATGTGAGACGCTGTCAAAGAGTGAACAAACATATAATTAGAGTTCTACAAAGAGAAGGGAGAGAAAAATGGGCCAGCAGCAGTTCTGGAGCTGTAATAGTAAGAATTTTCCAAAACTGATGAAAGACATCTATCCACAGAATCAACAAGCTTAGTGAATCCACCAAAAACTAATTATCAAAGCTTCAAGAAAGCAAATAAAACAAACATACCTAGACATATCACTAGTAAAAATGCAAACGTCAACGACAGAGGACAGCTGAAAGGCAGCCGCAGAAAGCCACGTATCATCTTCACGGAAACAAGACTGCTGACGTAACAGAAAGGACGGGAGCCAGAAAACAATACGATGGTATTTTTAAAGTACCGAAAGAAAAGAATTACCAACCTAGACTTCTACATCCAGTAAAAATAAAAGTGAATTCAAGCATTTCAGACAAATAAAAGGCGATCATTTGAGCGAGCAGTCCTGCATTAAACATAAAATCAAAGGAAGCTCTTTAGGCAGAAGGATAATGGTCTTAGAAAAACAGAAAATGCAGGAAAGAATTCATAGAATAAATATAAACAAAACTGCCTGGAGATAATGCTTACATTGCTGGACTCTCACACAGTTGACTGCGCTTCAAGTCCTGAACTCAGCAGCTTAAAACTCACGCCAGGCACATGTGTGTGCGTGCCCAAAATCCCAAGAGGAGATTGGGGAAGGGGTTGTGGCATGGCCATTACCCCTGGGAGGTGATTTCTCACTTTCCGTCTGTCTGTCTGCCTCTCTCTCTGGTGAGCACAAGCCCTATAACAAAAATCTCTTAAAACAAAACAGAACAAAAAACCAAGTTGCCTGTACAGAACAATAGTAATAACGTCCTTGGAGTTTAAAATGTATGCAGAACTAAGATACTGCACAGCGATACTGCAAAAGGTGAAAGGGCGAACAGTATTAAAAGTAGCTCCAGGGAACCAGCAGTTAGCGTAATGGCTATGTCGCTGGACTCCCACGTAGTCGACCGCGGTTTGTGTCCCGGATCCGGTGGCTTAAAACTCACGCCGGGCGCGTGTGCGTGCATGCCCAAGATCCCGAGAGGAGAATGGAGAAGAAGGGATTGCGGCATGACCATCCCCCCTGGGGGTTATTTCTCGCTTTCTGTCTCTATGTCTCTGTCTGTCTGGCGAGCGCATGCGCCCTACAGTGAAAATCTCTCAAAAAAAAAAAAGTAGCTCCAATATTTTCAGAAGTCATAGTTTTTATTTTAATGTTAATAAAAGGCATATTGCAATCTCTAAGGTAACCATTAAATGCATAGACTTAGGGTGAACGGGGAAAAATGAAATCATCATCATCATTGGCTAGTCCCTCGGTGCTTACCAAGGTTCAGACGCCTCACCCACAATCTATCCCCACACCACGTCTTGATTTCCTATTTAACAAACATTTGGCCAAAGTGAATATTCCAACCCCAGAGTACATTTGAATTATTTTAAAAATTTTTCTTCACCCAGAATATCCTACATTTTTCAATTTAACCAAGTTTTACTCCCTCTTCAAAATCCAGTTCAAGCCCTAAGACTTCATGAATTTCATTTAATACTACCTTCAAATTGAGTTAATTTCATAGAAATTTTATATAACATTTCAGCAAGAATATCACACACCCTTTTATACCATTAGTTTAAACATGCGTGTGTACGCATCTTCTCTTTCAACTGGCCTATATTATGCTTTCAAAGGTGGAGGACTTTTTTTTTTGCATACTATAGCCATAAAGTGCTAGGCATACAGTTATTTAACACCGAATAAATAAAAAAGAAAGGAAAAACAACAGCAAAATCACAGTGCTATTACAAAAGGTAGATTTTAACAATGGACGTTTCCATTTGTTTATTTGTTTTGCCATGGGACACATGAGATCACCAAAGACAGACAGAAAGAGAGAGAGAGAGAAGAAAGTCAGAGGGAAAGTGAGAAATCACCCCTAGGGGGGAATGGCCACACCTCAATCCCTTCTCCTCCAAGGACTGTAGGTACGTGAGCACATGCGCCCGGAATGGTATTCGGGTTGCCAAACCTAGGACTCGAACCAGCCATGTAGGAGTCCAGTGCTAACTTAACCACACCACCCGCTGGCCCCCAAATGAAAATTACTTTAATATAAATCAATTCAGCATATATAAAACATTTTTCCCCATAAAGAAAGCCATCAACTATAAATATAGAGCTCTCCAAAACAAAGATTACTCTGCCCGGAGGTTTTTCTAAACTAAATCCATGAGAGACAGTACTGAGAAGAAACTCAAGCCCAGTGACTGCTATCAGGCCATTCTGCCCATTCCTTACATTATTTTCAATAATTCACTGTGTGAATGACTGTGTTCTCTACAGCTGGAAGCCTGCTGGATATAACTAACTACACAAGGAATTTCAGAAAGATCATAGAAAGATGGAATTAAGGTACGAGTTTATTGGTGCAAAATAATTTTGGAATCCCTGCAGTGTTTTTCTTAATACACCTTTTTCTTACATTTAGTGCCATTCGATTACGTGATTATTAGACCAATCTTGAAAAGCAGACAAAACTAATCTCTATTTTATAATTTGAAAAGAGAAACTAGAACAGAAATGTCAGCTAAGCTTTGTGGGACACTGCAACTTCAGAGACAGAGCCAATGTTAGAACGCCCTTTTCTCTCTTTTCTCTTTGGCTCTAAAAAACGGAGACACATTTCGCTAGATACTCATTTGAAAACACCAGACCCAGTTACATTTTGCTTTTTTTTTTAATTTATTAATTTGTCAGAAGGCATGTGTGCTAACTGGAGAGAAAAAACCCTAGGAAGCACCTCCCAAGGCACGTAATCATGCTTTCATCCCTTTTCCTCCATTCCTCCCTCCTTTCAGGATTTTGGACATATTTCTAAAACTGTTGGGTATGAGACTCAAACCACATTGCCATCCATGAGGAATCCAATCACCCAAGGGCTGGCCCACATTTTGCTTCTAAGAGAAATACAATAAGCCTCTTACTTATCAGGTAGCAATTCTGCAATGAAGTTTTCCACCGACACGGCTGTCTGCTTTTCATGGATCACTCCATTTCGACGTAAGCTATCTATCCGTTCCTGGGCACCCTAAACAATAACGGTGTAGGTTACAAACTGTTTTACATGATATGACATTAAGGTACTAATTTATGATTATACGCCACATACATATATTTATAACAGGCACATGTACATTCACTGTAAACGTTCAGATAATATGAAAGCATACGGAGTAAAAAAATAAAAACGTCTAATCATGTTCCCTCAGTGTTAACAGTTTCCAAATTATTCCACCACCATTATTACGTGTTGTGAAATGAGTTATTTTTACGTTGTTTCCTAATCACGTACGACTAATATAAGAAAACTTTTTTAAAAATTTGCTACAAGGCATGTGTGCTCCCCAGAGAGAGACAGAGAGAAAGTGATCACCACCCCTTTGTGACCACACCAAAACCCCTTCTCCTCCATTCTCTTCTTGGGATTCTGGGCACGCACAAACAAGCACCTTGGTGTTTTTCAAGCCACCGTGTCCAGGACTCAAACCACATACTCAGAAATATGGAATCTGGCCACCTTAATCACCACACTACCTGGCTGGCCTGAAAACTGTATTTTTGTTTTAAAAGAGATTTTTGCTAGAAGGGATGTGCACTTACCAGTGAGACAGAAAGAGACAGAAATTGAGAAATCACTCCCCAGGGGGATGGCCATGCCGCAATCTATTCTCCTGGGATCTTGGGTACGCACGTGCATGTGCGCACACACACACACACACACACACACACACACACACACACGTGCCTGGCATGAGTTTTAAGTCACAAGGTCCAGGACTCAAACAATGGTTGACTACATGGGAGTCCAGCGATGTAATCATTACATCTGCAGGTACTGTAGGTATCTATTTTTAAATGTTGATGTGGCAAGAAATCATCAGTCTCAGTAGTTTTTAGTTGATCTTCTCTTATTATTTAGATAGGCAATCATAGCAATAGTACATGTGTTTTTGTCTCTTTCTTCTGATTCCCTCTAAATATATACGCTCCAAAAACGGCCAGTTATTTAAGATAAAAAGCTATAAATGGATACAACAATGCTTATTCAATAAAATATTTATGAAGCAAAACTTACTGAGGTGAACAGAGAACTTGAAAACAGTAATATCAATCTTTTTTGTTTCCTTTATTCAGGACACAGCACGCACACGTACACGAGTGAGAACGAGAGAGAAGAAAGGAGCATCCTCCACGAGGTCCGGTCTAAACCAAGATGCCTGCTTTTTCTTTCTCCTGCCCACTGGGTCCTGGGCACTCGTGCATGTGCCAGTGTACCTCAGGCTGACTGGGCTGGGATCCGAACAGTGGACACTGTGGGGTCCAGCCTCTCTCGAACAGTACATTACTGCTGCACATGGTGCTGGCCTAAAATACATATCTTATAACAGAGAAGCAGAAGCTGGATTAAGGAGGAAAAAGTTGCTGTTTACTACTTTTACCTGAATCGTTTCATAAACACTGATCTTCAATGATGTGGTAAAATATTTTCAAAAGGTGAAAAACAAAAACAAAAACAAAAAAAACAAACAAACAAAATTCTCAGATTTTTGGCTAAGATTGAGTCTAAAGGCAAGACAAAAATTTATTTCTGGAGGCCGGCAGGTGGCGTAGTGGGTAAGGGTGCTGGACTCCCACATGGCCAACTATGGTTAGAGTCCCGGACCTGGAGGCTTGCTTTCTCACTTTCCCTCTTTCTGTTTCTCTCTCTCTCTCTCTGTCCCTCTCTGGTCAAATTAAAATAAATAAATAAAATAAAGTTAAATAAAATAAGTCTTAAAACATATATTTCTGAACCAAACTAACCATTAATATACCTATTTTTACCATGGACAGCAGAAATAAACAGAATATAAGATTGAGTGGTCAGGGGAACTAGCAGTTAGCATAATGGCTATGTCGCTGGACTCCCACGTAGTCAACCATGGTTCGTGTCCCGGAACTGGTGGCTTAAAACTCACGCCGGGCGTGTGTACGTGAGTGCCCAAGATCCCGAGAGGAGAATGGAGGAGAAGGGACTGCGGAATAGCCATCCCCCTTGGGGGGTGATTTCTTGCTTTCTGTCTCTATGTCTCTCTCTGTCTGGCAAGCGCCCACACCCTATAGCGAAAACCTCTCCAAAAAAAAAAAAAAGATTGAGTGGTCAGTTCTTACTCAAATGAAAATTCTGAAGGCTAGGACATGTTGAGAGGTGAATGGATGTAAATGAGAAACAAATGAAATAAAGGAGGCGACACCTGTCTGAGAGCAGGTAAAACAGCTGAAGACACTGGTAGGTGAGCTGGCCCAGTAACAGTGACTACGTGCTCTGCAGGGAGGGCCTCATCTCCCACGGTGGACTGCAGCTGGAGGCCAGCTCTTGCAGACTGCAGACATGTGTGCATGCATACGTGAGTGCTTCCGTGAACAGGATCCTGAGAGGACAAAGAAACGGAGGAGGGACTAGGGTGTGACCAAGTCCCATGGCAATGTGGTGGGGGATTGGCAATGCTTCCTTTCTCCCTCTGGCTCACCTGTACCTTCTGACATTGATAAAAAGAAGACCCTAGCTTATAAAGACGAAGACTTACAGATGGCAGGACTTAAACGGCACTAACACTGAGCTGTTTTTGCTCACTCCCATCTCCAGTGCCTGATGGCAGAGCACCTGACCTGACAGGCATGCTGTAAGACCTTACTTCATGAAAAACTAAACAAGGGGAAAAGGTAAAGGCTCCTGTGGTGAATGCTAAAAATATAAACAGTGTAAATACGGCATCAGCAGGTCTAGTGCTACTGAAATGAAGAGGTAGCTACTGATTTTGAAAGAAACATGACAGATGAAATGACTTAAGTCTTTATACTGGATCCTACAAATGTGCCTAATTCACTCCTCCAAAGTGTAGTTACAGCTATATTTTGAAGAAAAAGCAGCTTAAGTAAATGTTGATTCAGGAAAAATCGTAAGTTGACTAGGATTTTTGGAGGTCCGTCCCTCACGCTGTGACGGTGGTACCTCGGTTACGTGGTACAAAATATTCCAGGATGACCTGCTTCCGGGAACAGAGCCTGAGTTTGCTTGGTTTTTAACCACCCATATCAAAAGGCTTTACACTTCGCAGACTTTACAAAAGATTAAGTAGTCCCTCCAAGGGATAGGATTAATGAGCTAGGTAGACAAGTTTAATTCTTTCCTAAGGAATCCAAACAGAAAATTTAAAAAGGGGTTATATCGGTCCTCTCTTTTCCTCTGATTATCTCATTAATTAAATGTAGCCTCTTTTGGTGCTAAAAATGCAACGTAGGGGTCAGGAATGAGGTAATTTCGGGCCAGCACGAGGTGAGGTCATTAAGGCGCTGAATTCCCACATGGTGGACTCTGTTTGCCTCCAGGACCTGGCGGCTTAAAAATCACTCTGAGCGAGTGTGCATGTGTGCTCAAAAATCCCTGGAAGGGAACAGAAGAGAAAGGATTGTCAAGCAACTTGTTTCAGAGGATTAATTAACATTTATTTATATATATGTGTGTGTGTGTGTGTGTGTGTGTGTGTGTATATATATATATATATATATATATGTGCATATATGCTTATAGATATTAACTCCATCTTCCTCGGCTGAACAAAAGCTACAAAACACCAGTCAGAACAATGACCGGCTTTTCACTGGAATTAGTATTTGGTAGAGGCAAAGTTTCAGAAGTTTTCTAACTTTAACTTCGACTGAACTGATTTATTTCCCTAAATGATTTAATATATTTAAAGGACAAGTTAAATTTAGTTCTGAAACTCCATTTATTTCAAATAAAATATGGGATTAAAATTTCTATAGAGGACCAGCAGTTGGCATAATGGCTATATCGCTGGACTCCCACGTAGTCCCAGTTCGAGTCCCGGACCCGGTGGCTTAAACTAACACCGGGCGCATGTGCGTGCGTGCCCAAGATCCTGAGAGGAGAATGGAGGAGAAGGAATTGCGGCATGGCCATCCCCCCTGGAGGGTGATTTCTCGTTTCTGTATCTCTGTCTCTCTCTGCCTGTCTGGTAAGCACACGTGCCCTATAGCAAAAACCTCTCCAAAAAAAGGAAAAAAAATTTCTATAGTATATGATTCTATTTTTCTTCTCCTTAGCTCCCTCTACCGTCTCTGAAAAAGATAAACAAGTGACACATTTACAAAGGGCTTTCTATCTGCTGCCCTTGCTGTCTTCATCCATGTATCCAGCCAAGGGTGGATAGAAAAGGTTAAGTTGTTGTTGACAGGTGCTATGTGGTTAGGTCGATGATGTTCATATTTGTAGTGAATAGTGCAGACTTTCCAGTCATTATTCCCTGAACAACAGTTGAACTGCTATTTACATGGAATTACATTGTATTAGGTACTACAAGTAATCTAGAGATGAATTAAACCGTAGGAGAGGAAGCGCTTAGGTTATATGCAAACACTACGCCACTTCACGTAGGGACTCAAGCTTGTGTAGATTTTGGTATTTGAGGGGGTCCTGGAACTCTGGACTCCCATGGATAATGAGGGATAACCGTATTAGTTTCAATGGATTTTAGTTTTGAACTGTTTTAAAGGCTGCAGAAAAAGAAATCATGTCTAAATTTGAAAGGCAAAAACAACAAAAAGAAACTTGACAAATATTAATAGAATCCAGTAAAATCAAACTACCCATATTATCCACCAAATAAGGTTTTTCTTGAGGGGAAAAAAAAAATCCCCATCAGGGCTTTCAAGTTCAGTAACTACTGATTTTAAATATATTCTATGTAATGGTGCCTAATGTAATAAAACATTTAAGACTCATTAAAAATCGTAAGGAGAAAAACAGGCTTCCCAGATGGTCAGTTCACTAAATTTATTTTTATTTGTACCGCCAAACTTTTATAAACTTTTCCCTCTTCTTCATAATTAATATAAATCTCACCTTCCTCAATACGTTACATAGACACAGATGCACAGATGTATAGAAGCAGAAACAGAGAACAAAGTTCTTTGTAGACAGCTTGGTGAATATGCTGTGACCAGAGAGCAGCAGAGACCTAACCCTGGTGTTCTTGTGGGAGCAGTGGTGCCCCATTCATTAATGCAGCATTTGTGGCAACACTGTGGAATGTAACTATGGTGGAAAACAAGAATCAGGTGGGTTATTTTTTTCTTTTATTTTGAGAGGTTTTTGCTATAGGGCACGTGTGTTCACCAGAGAGATAGACAGACAGGAAAAAAATGAGAAATCAGCCCCCAGGGGGGATGGCCACGCTGCAATCCCTCCTCCTCCATTCTCCTCTCGGGATCTTGGGCACGCATGCACACACGTCCGGCTTGAGTTTAAGCCACCGGGTCCAGGACTCGAACCACAGTCGACTACGTGGGAGTCCAGCAATAACCACAGTCGACTACGTGGGAGCCCAGCAGTTTAGCCATTACACCATCTGCTGGTCCCAGAATCAGCTGTTTTATAAACAAGGTATCTCTCTTGTTTAAAAGGAAGTTTATTTCTTCCATGAGAGAAAGAGACAGCTAGCCCCCAACAATCTCTTCATGCCACAGTCCATCCCTAGCCTCAGCCAGCCAGGATCACTAGCGCATGCCCCGTGTGTGCAGGGAGACATGAGGACGCAAACCTGGCTACCACATCGTGGAGCATCATCTTACCACTGTGCCACATGACTGGCCAACAAGTAAGATTTCCTGATGGAACCGAGAGAACATTTCTCATCTGAGAAAATGGAAGGCTAGAACTGCCATGAACTGAGATAGAGAGAATGTAAGAGGGCTAGCCCCCAACAATCTCTTCATGCCACAGTCCATCCCTAGCCTCAGCCAGCCAGGATCACTAGCGCATGCCCCGTGTGTGCAGGGAGACATGAGGACGCAAACCTGGCTACCGCATCGTGGAGCATCATCTTACCACTGTGCCACATGACTGACCAACAAGTAAGATTTCCTGATGGAACCGAGAGAACATTTCTCATCTGAGAAAATGGAAGACTAGAACTGCCATGAACTGAGATAGAGAATGTAAGAGGGACAGGTTTTGAGGAAAGCAGAGCATATCCTTAGGGTTGGGAAAGTCATGACATATTTTTCTATGCTTTTCCATGCAAAAATATGTCATGACTTTCACGTCAACCCAATAGTTTCAGACATACTGAGTTTCAGATAGTCAAGTAAAATTGTCAAAGGCAGGGACCAGCAGATGGTGTAATGGTTACATCACTGACTCCCATATAGTCGACAGTGCTTCGAGTCCCAGATCCAGCAGTTTAAAACTCATGCCGGGTGTGTGTGCCTGAGTGCCCAAAATCCTGGGAGGTAACAGGAGGAGAAGGGATTGCGTGTGGCCGGCCCTCATGGGGAGTGATTTCTTGCTTTCTGTCTCTGTCTCTGGTGAGCACATGTGCCCTATAGCAAAAATCTCTATTTAAAAAAAAAAAAATTACCAAAGGCAACTTTTTTTTTTTTAAGGTTTTCCCATAGGGTGGCTATACTCAACAGACAGAGTTTAAGTGAAATCACCCTCAGGGGGAATGGCCATGGCACAATCCCTTCCCCTCCAATCTCCTATCAGGATTTGGGCATGCACATGCACAAACACATGTAACTAGCATGATTTTTAAGCTCCTGGGCCTGGGGTCCAAACCACAGTTGACCATGTGGAGTCTAGCACCTTAACCACTATCCCACCTGCTGGTCCCCAGAAGGTACTTTTAAACAAATCAAAAGCTTATGAAGAACTTACTAGGAGAAGATACAAATTTGGAACAGTCAGCACACACATGGTTTTTAAGCCATGGACAACGTGCGATTAATTACCAAGAGAGTAAATAGACAAGGATGAGGGAACCACTGAGAGACTGAGAGAAGAGGAGAACTCAGCAAAGGAAGCACAGAAGGAGTAGGAAACATACCCAAAGTGTGGTATCCTGGACGTGAACTAAAAAAGCATTAAACAGGGAGTGGTCAACTGCCTCGAATACCAGTGAAAAGTCAAGTAAGATGGACAACAACTGTTGACCTGGAGAGCAATCTCCATGGAGGGGCGGCAAAAGCCTAACAGGAGTGGCTGTAAAAGAATGGGTAGAGCAGCCATGAGGTGGTGTGGTGGTTAAAAGTGCTGGACCCCCACATGGCTGACTGTGGATTGAGTCCTGGACCCGGCAGCTTGAGACTCACACCAGGCATGTTTAGGTTCCCAAGTCCTGGAAGAAAATGGAGGAAAAGGGATTGCAGCGTGGCCATACACCCTACGCGCACGGCCCTCTCACTGTCTATCTCTAGCGGAGCACGTGCCCTATGGCAAAATTAAAGAATAAAAAATAAAAAGAGAGAGAGAGAATGCATAGAGAGAAGTAGAGAATATGCTAGCAACTGCTGGATGGCTTTGGGTCTTAAGGAAGCAAAATAAGGTGCAGGTGATAAGGGAAGTGAGGCCACGATTTGTTGGGGTCTCCTTTGCTTATTTTTGTTTTGTAAGGTGGGAGAGATATCCCTGTGTCGATGAATTGTTCGTTTGTTCTCACATGAGGGTATACTGGTTACCATAGAGAGAAAAAAAATAAAAAATATATAAAAAAAGAAGAGGGCAGACTTCCTCAAATATTAACATTCGAAGCATTAATAATGATGATAATAAAAAGTTTGCTCCAGCTACAATGGCACAGCAGGAACCCAAGGCTCTACGATGTTGGAAGCTATGTGGAAAGACAGGCTCCTGTTCCTAGGCTGACCTGTACAGCCTAGGCAAATGTGGAGATCACGGCAGAAGACCCTGCTGAGACTGTGCGTGTGTGTGTCCAGGAAATTTAAATAAATTAATTAAAAAGATTTTACATCATATAAGATTAAGGGATTTTAGAATATCAGTAATTGGTTTGATCATTAATACTCAGTTGAGAATCTCTCTTTCAGGAACAACTACTCTCCTTTTGAGCCCTCTGAATGTGTTTCTTTCCCTCCCCTAATCATTAAAACTTTGCTCAGATTTCTTTAAGTTAAAACTCCACTATATCTTCCTAACACTACAGAGCTGTCTAACTAAAAGCAAGCTGATGTCATTTCAGTGTGTAAAAAGCATTCTACCTCCTTACAGACTGCAGGACTATTATCGGAATAATGAAAAAAATTACCCACGGTTTCCGTACCCTAACACGCTGTTCTGTTACTCACTTTTAATCCAGCGGCGTAGCCCACTGGCTGCGGGGCAATGTTGGACTGCCCGGCTTCCCCTACAACCACGGCTAAGCCGAAGACCTCCTGGAAGGCATCTCGCACGGCAGCAACTTTCACTTCTTTATTTGAGGTCACTACAATGTCCAGTTCCCCTCCAGATTCTACAAGAGCCAAAAGAAAATTTCAATTCCAAATTATGACAATAAAATCCTCATAATGACTACCATATCATGTGGCATCATTTTAGTGACAAAGTTGTTACCAGTGTCCTAACACCATGCAAGATAGCTGAGGAAACGGAGGCTAGTCAAGTCTTGCCCAACCTAATACAGCTACTTAGCACCAACGTCAGGACTCAGATCTTGAGCTGCCAGACTCTGAAGTTCTCTTTTTACACACCGTCTGGATACAACCAGGTATGTTTTCACTCTTTAAGCTAATACCATCTTACTCCAACATTTGCTCCAAATCACATCTTCCCTGGAATTTCAGAAGTTACCATGAACGATGGGTAATACAGGAGAGACGAATATACTGTTTTTCTTATTTCCTTCCTCCATGAGGAACATCTCTCTTAACCCTAAATAAGGACTGTTCCTTCAAGCTTCAGTTCAAAGAGGCTTTCATTTGTGATAAATAATCCTACTTTCAATGATACCGTGGGGAAATTATGAGAAGAAAGTTAAACTGTGTTAAAACCCACTTCTAATAGTTCTTGTGCTTTCTTGATACATTCTAAACTGTTTTATGAAGTAACTTCTAGAATATTTGTGGAAAAATACTGTAGGTTTTATCTTGAGCTTTGTCAGATCAAAATTGTACTGCTTTTGCTGTCAGTAAACTGTCAGCTGTTTTTGCACTCAGTTTTATCACTTTTACAGTTAACGCTAAGATTATATGTTACTGTAAGTTCTGATATCTATAATAAGAAAAATTTCATTTCTGGGTCTTTCTTCCCCCCCCCTCAGTTTTACACCTTTTTCTTTTGTAAGAGAATTATTTTTTCTCGCTGTAGGGCACATGCACTAGCCAGAGAGACAGAAAGTGAGAAATCACTCCTGGGGAGGAGGGTGGCCACACCACAATCCCTTCTCCTCCATTCTCCTCTCAGGATCTTGGGCACACACGCACACATGCCCAGAGTTACACCTTTTTCTTGATGTCACTGGCCTGAGAAATCACCTTGGGTTTATCGTTTACTAGCTTTATTACCTTCAAAAAGTCACTGGGCTTGTTTCATTGTAGAAAAACAAGTGCCTCAGAGAGCTTGCTCTACCCATCAAGTAACTGCTTCTGGGGCCAGCAGTGGCATGCTGGTGAAGGCACTGGACTCCCACAGGGCTGAATGTGGTTCATCCCAGACCTGGAGCCTTGAAAATCATGCTGGGTACGTGAACGCCCGTGCCCCAAATGCAGGAGAATGGAACTGCAGTGTGGCCATCCCTCAGAGGGTGATTTCCCACCTTCTTTCTCTCTCTGTCTCTCTGCAGTGACACACAGATGGTAAAAACCAAAAATAACAAAAGCAAACAAGAGTGTCAATAGTGGGTAAGATAAAATTCATATAAAGCAATGCTAACCCGCATTTACAGTTAAAGTCAGTTACTACGATTATAATTCATACTGTCTTTACTTTTCCAAAGTTCATTCTATGGACTTTTCAAAACTTATGTAATGGTAATTAAGAAAAAGATGAATGGAGAACACTGAACCAAGACTGACAATCAACGTAATACAAGAATACGAGCACGATTTCCACTCATGACATGACTGGTGGAAATGAAGGGAATTACAACCGGCCGCTGACTGGGAAGCGCCCTGTACCAAGGACGGCCGACGCGAGTCCTCCTCTCGTACGTACTGATATACGGGGCCATGCCGGGGTCCAGCGTGGTGATCATGCTCTCCACCGAATGCTTCGTCTTGTCGAGCACAGACTTCACCACGGGGTTCCCTGCCACTCCCTGCACAGAGCAAACGGAAATGCTCACTACGAGCAAAGAGCATCCTGATCTTCATGACTGTAAAGAAAACTTCTGGAAGTTTCCAACGGATCCCAGACAAGTACTTTCATAAACGATAAGAAAAATGAGGTCATGGAGATGTCAAGGAAGTTTCTAAATGGTCCTCCCAGTTTCTCTTCCCATCAGTCACACGCAGAGCAGTCTGCAGACTACATGTGAGCAGCAGTGGCCCGAAGTATGTATATTTTACATAATATCTCTGTACATGCACACACGTGTATATATTATAAACACAAGTACATAAACACACATGCATACACAAAAGCTTATATATAACTGTTTCATTTGTATTTATCTATGTAAAAATATAGGTAAAACTTTTCCCTCAGGGTCCCAAATAAAGACTGTAATCAGGTATCTATACAGGTTCATAATTTGTTCCCTAATTAAAAAAATGAATATAGTAAAAACAGCTTTTATTTTTATCTCCCAGAATGGTTACCTTAAGATACAGTATGTTGCTATAGTCTACAAACGTTTCTTCATTATTCCTACTTCTTGTTTCTCATTTTGCTCATTCCCGAATTCTCTGTTTTGAGCCAGACTTCTTCTGGATGCTTACAACCACACAGCTAAACAGAAGGAACCAAAGCTGAGGGTTCCCTTTCTGTGCTGTCCTTCCTGGAAGAGGATCTGAACAAAAACCCATGGCTCTCCTCTTCCAACCCACCTATACACAAAGGTGAGTCGGGACATGGAGAGTTCATAATACTGACATGTAAGACTGTACCCAATCTTATGCTCAATATTAGAAGTACCAACTACTATTTACAAGCCTTACAGAGTTGAACTAGAAAGAAAAAGCTATAGTCTCTCTCAAAAAATAAATAAATAAAAATAAAAGTAACTTTTAAAAGTACAAACAGAGCATTTTATACACCAACAATGAACAGATCAAGACAGAATCAAAGAAAGCAATTCCACTTACAATAGGCACATAACAAGTAAGATACCTAGGAATAAGCCTAACCAAAGAGGTGGAGGATCTCTACGAGTAAAACTATGAAAAACTGCAAAAAGAACTTGGGTATAATACAAAAAAAATGGAAAGACATCCCATGTTTTTGGATTGGAAGAATCAATATGATCAAAATACCAGTTTTACCCAAATTAATTTACATATTTAATGTGATTCCAATCCAACTGCCAGTAATATTCTTCACAGAAATGGAAACAACAATTATAAAATGTGTCTGGAATCAAAGAAGACCCGTATCGCTAAGGTAATACAGTGCAAGAATAAAACAGGAGGCAGAATCTAATGAAAGCAAATACAAAGCAGTCGTAATAAAAACAGCAAGGTACTGGCACAAAAACAGACAAATTAAGGGAACAGAATAAAGAATCCAAAAATAAACCCCAAATCATTCAGCCAACTGATCTTTGTCAACGGGTACAAGTCAATGCAGTGGAGAAATTGAAGCCTTTTCAGCAAATGATGCTAAAAGAATTGGATATCCATCCACAGAAAAATAAAACTGGACCCCTATCTCTCACCATTAAGAAGAATCAACTCAAAATAGATCAAGTACTTGAACGTAAAGGCTCACACTATAAAACTACTAATAGAAAACTTAGGGGAAACTCTTAAAGACACTGGAGTAGGCAAAGACCTAACATAAGATAGACATTGAATATCCCCACTCAGTTTGAACCAAATGTCTGCACTCTATGACAAAAAGTGGAAAGATATGAAAATTCAACAGTAGAGAGGCGAAGTGCAGCTGCCAGGCACTGTAAGGGAGGAGAGTGGGTGGTAGAGGGTGGGTGTGAGATGCCAAGGGAAGAAACATTATTTTTAAAAGAATTACTTTATTTAACTTTATCTATTTACTTATTTATTTATTTAAATTTGACCAGAGAGGGACAGAGCGAGAGCGAGAGCGAAGGGGGGGGTGGGGTAAAGTGAGAAAGTAAGCCACCAGGTCTGGGACTCAAACCACAGCTGGCCATGTGGGTGTCCACTGCCCTTAACCACCACAGCACCAGACAGCTCCAGTAAGAAACATTTAACAGACAAAAAAAAATGTGAAGTTTCTGCTGGGAAGAAACACACACACACACACACACACACACACATACACACTCACATTATGATGGAGACTTTATATAAAATGTGAATTATTCTGAAAAATTTATTGAATGTTTGATACACAATAGAAGAGATGGAAAAAGACAACACGAAAATAATGGCCCTTATCTCGAAATATCTTTGCCAGCTCATGCCTTACTTGAAAACCTCACAAGCCTATGTATGTATTCCAAAATATGAAAATTAAGTCAGACCTCTACTCCATATAATAAAGTATATTAAGTGTAAATATAAATAAATAAAATGATAAAAGAACTAGGAAAATAACAAAGCAATGTATCCTTCATTGTGGTGAGAAAGGTATTTTTAGCTTAAAAAATGAACATGCGAAACAACTGAATTAAGGGAACAGAATAAAGGAGAGTAACAGAAATGAGTATTAAAAATTTAAAAACTTCTGAACCAAAAAAGTATAATAAAAAAATTAAAATATAAACTGAAAATAGAAAAAACTACAACAGGAAAGTGTATAGTAAACCATCCTTACTATAATGTGAGCTCTTACAAAATTACTGAGAAGGAAATCATACCACCTTAAAATTGGGCAAAGAACATGAGCAGAAACAAAAAATACAAATGGATGAAAAATTGCACAGAAAAAAATGTTCCAATTCAGCAGCAAAGAAATGCAAACTAAAACAAGGTACTACTTCTTGCCTATCAAATCACAAAATACTGTATTTTAAATTAATCAGTGCTAGCAGGTGAAAAAATGCTGTAACCATGCCTTTTGGTATAACCTTCCTAGAGAACAGAACATGTCAAAAATTCTTCTATGATGTATACATATTTCAAAAGATCACACTTACACAATTTCCTACATAATCTACTTTGAGTTACAAAAAAAAAAGTTTCAGGAAAAAAAATGTATCTATTCACTGACTGCAGTAGGATATGTAGCCCCAGCTAGGTGCTACTTTATAGGATGCGTAAAGTTAGACTTGTGTTCATGGAAATGTGTGTGTCACCTCTGTTTGCTATGAGGGTATTTGGATTGATTAGGGTCTTCGGTGATTCAATAAAATGTGGGGGGAAAACAGTATAGAAAGCAAACATAGATACCAGAGACAGTGTGGGAGGAGAGCAGGAGGTGGCAGAGGGTAAGAGATAGGGAACCAAGGATGGGGGGAAAAAGCAAAACATACAGAAAACAAGAAACGGAAGATCATTTGCTGACAATAGCATGTTTGTTGATGTGCTTGATTGAGACAATATACAGTGTACTCTGGATGGAAAATCTCATTTTGTATGCTGTAATGATGTACAGTGAATGAATGCAAATAAATAAAAAAAATAGTTATTACAAAAAAAAGATCATACTTACATGATAAATACGTGTAATCTTTGTCAATTAATGTATGTTAAATAATTAATTTTTAAAGAATTATTTATTTTCTTAATTCGTTTTTTTATTCTTAGTTATTTTAAATTTGACCAGAAAAAGACAGAGAAACGGAAAGTAAGAAAGCAAGCCACCAGGTCCAGGACTTGTACTGCAGTCGGTCATATGGGAATCCAGCTCCTTTAACCACGCCACCTGCCAGCCCCTAAATAATGAATTTTTAAAAAAAGAATTATATTTGGGAACAAGCGAAAGCAGTAATGGCTATGTTGCTGGACTCCCATGTAGTCGACCGTGGTTCGCGTCCCAGACCCAGTGGCTTAAAACTCATGCCAGGCACATGTGCGTGTGTGCCCAAGATCCCGAGAGGAGAATGGAGGAGAAGGGATTGTGGTGTGACCATCCCCCCTGGGGGGTGATTTCTTGTGGTCTGTTTCTAATGTCTCTCTCTGTCTGTCTGGCGAGGGCATGCGCCCTATAGCGAAAATCTCTCAAAAAAAAAAAAAAAAAAAAAAATAATTATATTTGACCCTAGTTGTAGTGGCCCTCATGGGAATGCAACGCTGTGTGGAGGCTGAGGTGACCTGGAGCCCCAGTTTGGTTCCAGCCCGACCTAAGCAGGCTGGGTGAGGTTGGAGGTGCCTGTGACCCTAGCTAACTGGGAGGCTGGGGCGGAGGATCACAACATGGTGAGATCCTATCAAAAATGCCCATCTCGGGATCAGCAGTTAGTGAAATGGCTACGTCACTGAACTCCCTTGTAGCCGACCACAGTTCGAGTCCCGGAACCCTTAAAGTCACGCCGGGTGCATGTGTGCCCAAGATCCCGAGAGGAGAAGGAATTGTGGCATGGCCATCCCCCCTGGGGGGTGATTTCTCACTTCCTGTCTCTCTGTCTCTCTCTGTCTCTCTGGCAAGTGCACATGCCCTATAGCAAAAAAAATAAATAAAAAAAATAAACCATCTCTCTCTTGCCCTTGTGTGCTCTCTCTCTCTTTCATATAAAGGAAAACAAAGAATTACAGTTATAATTTTGCCAATAGCAAATTAGTGTAATAAGTCAAAGGAAATATAATATTTTGCCATGAAAATATACATTTCTGAAGCATATCCAATGGCTGGAAAGATATTCTTAATATGTTGGGACCAGTAGATGGTGTAATGGGTACGTTTCCGGACTCCCCTGTAGTTGTAGTTGACTGCAGATCGAGTCCTGGACCTGGCGACCTAAAACTCATGCTGGGCAAATCCCGGAAGGAGAATGGAGGAGAAGGGATTGCACCATGGCCATACCCTTGGGGGTGGGGTGTGGGGGGGTGACTGCTTGTTTTCTGTCTTTCTGGTGAGCACACGTGCCCTACAGCAAAAATCTTTCAAAAAAAAAGAATATGTCTTCATAGATGTTTAAAAGATTGAAAGCAACTGTAGTAAGCTACTATTATAATGTTTTAATTTTTATTTTTTTCCTTATGCCACTTTGAATTGTCAAAATATTCTCTAACAAACATCTGTTAATTTCATAATTAGGAAATTAAATGTAGTTTTAAAGTAAATATCCCTTACCTTAATAAAACCCCAGAGTCCGCCAGCTGATGCTTCATCCTGACCTCTGCTAATTCTCGGGTCTTCCTGCTCTTCTGGGAACGTAATGGCAGATGTGGTTCCAGCTCCTTGTGCCACAGACGTCAAACTGGCTTGCTGAGTAATGGGGGTTGGCAAAATACCTATTTAATATAAAAAAAAAAAAATGTGTAATTTACTATATAAAAAGATACAGCATATAAAGTAGCTCAAAACAGCTTTAACAATGTAACCATACACTCAGGCATTTCAGGATTAAGTTATGAACTCAAAGAATCACCCAAACCTTCATAAAAACACAAATTAAACGGAATTCCAAAAGAGAAAGCACTTTACATAGGCTTATATCAAGTGTCCTAAAATGGACCAAAGAAAAAAAAAAGACATTAAAGTGTTCTGCATGCCTGAACTATTTTATACTTAGATGTGAACAGCTATAGTTCCAATCTCTGTAATCCATAAAAAAACCAAACCCCTGTAACAATCACTCCACATATTCCAGCCACTACGCTTCAACTCCAAAAGAAACTCACACGTTCACAGACATGAGGGTAATACTTGTACTTGGCGATACAGTTCATTTGTAAAGGTAGATAAGCAAAGCTGGATTGTAAAGATCACAACAAAGTGCCCTCTTTTCCCTCAAATAAGGAACAGGCAGGAAACAAGAATGAAGTTTTGAGAAATGGCTTTCCAACAAATATTCAAGAGAAGCAAATGAAAAAGATGTGGCTGACTTAGGAAAGCGATCCAGGATCACCGACTTTGCACACATGAGCCTCTACTTGGTTTCGGACTGTTATCGGACTAAACACACACTCCTCGCCGCACCAGTCAATTCTGATCTTGTTTTTTTAAGTAAATGTTCATAGCAGCATTATCCAAATAACCCAAAAATGGAAAAGACCCAATATCAACTGATAAATTGAATAAATATTAATAAAACTTTGTGTATATATGTATTAGAATAGTAATCAGTCGTGAAATGAAATGAATTGCTGACACAAGCCACAATGTGAATGAACCTTGAAAATATGAATGAAAGATGCCAGTCACACAGATCACATGACACAATGTCATTGACATGAAATGCCCAAAGTATTCCAAATCCATAGATACAGGAAGTAGACTGAAGGCGGCCGAGGCCTGTGAGATTGGGGGAGCGGGGGAAGTGTGGAGTGTCCCAATCAGTATGGGGTTTCTTTTTCAGGCGATGAATAGGTTTTAAAATTGATTACGGCAATGGATGCGCAATTCTGTAAATAACTACTGACTCATACACTTTAAATAAATGACTTGTGTGTGAATCAGTATCTCCATAAAGCTGTATAATTAGAAAAGAAAGAGAATAAGACATTCTCTGTAGCCATTCTCAATAAGAGAAAATTACCTGTTACTGGCGGTGCAGAAAATGATGGCATCAGAGGCGTCTGGGGAGCTCTCCCTGCGTGTCCCCTTGTAATGTCGTAAGTTGAACCGACAGAAAATCCTGATATAGGAGGACCCGAAGAGGGTGCAGACATGAGAGCACTTGGGGCAGAAGTGGAAGGTGGGAAGTGGGACAGAGGAGGGTTACCGAAGGCAGCTGACGAGGAAACGGGAGGGGGTAGCGAAGTAGCAAGTGGCGGAGCAGAAGGAGCGGGTGAAGGAGACACCAAAGGTAGCGGGGAAGGCTGAGGAGTGGAATAGGTGTGTGGAGGCAAAGACTCCATAGAGGATACATTTGGAGAAGGAAAAGAACTGGTTGCAGCTAAAAATAAATAAATTTAAAAAAAAGAAGTGGAGAGAATAAAAGTGCAAAATTAGAAATGCTTTTATTTAGTTTTCACACTACCTCATTAATTTTTTCCTGCGAAATTTATGAGTATAATAGACTGTACCTCAAGAATAACTTTTAAATGCATATTTTAAAATATACAAGTATGTGGGGCCAGCAGGTGGCATAGTGGTTAAGGTGCTAGACTCTCACATGGCTGTCCACAGTTCGAGTTCTAGGCCCGATGGCTCAAAAATCATGCCAGGTGCATGTGCGTGTGCACCCAAAATCCCAAGAGGATAATGGAGGAGAGAGGACTGCAGTGTGGCCATCCCGTCTGGGGGGGGGGGGATTTCTCACCTTCCCTCTCTGTTTCTGTCTCTCTCTCCCTTTGGTGAAAGCACACGCCCTATGGCAAAAAAAAAACTTAAAAAAAAAAAATACAAGTGTGACTGAGTGCAAATGACTCTCAACTTCCCTACGTAAAAGCAGCAACTGTATGAAATGACATTATGGCATTGCTCATGAGTAGATCTTTGATCTTTGCCTTTCAGTTCATTTGTTTTGGTGTGTTTTTAATAAAATGAAGTCCTTTTTTGATCCTGGATTGAGCATTAAAGCCACACACTGAAGGCTCAAAAAGTCAACATTAGACAAAGCGAATACATCCCTTTTAGAGTATCTTCTTCATCCTGAGATGATTTATAATCAATGTGAACTATAAATCATTTAAGTCTACTGGAAGCAAATTCTTGTTTTACTTTAAAAATGACCCTACTCATAAACACAAAAGGCTATTTCTCTTCTTCCTGACAAAGTGAGATTTAGTATATGCATTATGTTTACAATAAACTTTGAGTAAAGACAAAAGCATCTTCACTATCATCCCCACACGCTAGGTGCCAGACGACTCACACACCCAAAGGAACTGGGGTGGAAGACATGGCAGCAGCAGCCAGTCCCACGGGATTCGGTGGAGGAGTTCCAGGTGGTGTTGTCTCTATTCCACTCTCTTCCATCATTTTTTTTCAATTACGGTGTACTGTAAAAACACAAAAATGTAGTATTATACCCCAAAATATACATTTTAAAGCTTAGAGAAAAACTACAAGAACAGTCATAAAGAGACAAATGTCTGTCTTTACTATTTATAATGCACTTATTTCCAGATGAATGGCTTTGGCAGAACTCCTGAAACACTGTACAAAGGCCAGCCCTGTAGCGCAGTGGTCAGGTGCGGTGCACTGGGAGCTGGATTCCACAGTTCCACCAACCACAGTTCCAATCCTGGCCCTGGCAGAAAATAATTAGCAATAATCCTGGCAGAAAATTATTAGGAAATAATTCCTGCTTCTCCTAGCTCCCATTTTAACAATAAAATATATCCAGAAACAGTTAAATGATGTCTCAGATTTTAGAAAAGTTAACACAGTGAAAATACTACTAAGTAGCAGGGTTTTAACAGATGACAACAGATTATGAGATGCATAAGAATGACCTTAAAAATAACAAATGTTCCTACTATCCGAGGTGGCACACTGGGAGGGTGCCATGATGAAGTGACTGACGCTGCAGGGGAGGCCCACCTAAACAGGCTGAGCACGTTGGTCCTCGCTGGGGCAGATGACGCTGACACGGCAAGAAGACAGTTAACACTCAGTCTCCCGGTTCCCTGAGAGAAAGGACAATGGTGAAATAAAAACCTTTCTTGGGACCAGCAGGTGGCATCATGGTTATGTCTCTAGACTCCCATGTAGTCGACTGCAGTTCGAGTCTCGGACCTGGTGGCTTAAACTCACACTGGGTGCGTGTGTGTGCGGGCCTAAGATCCCGAAAGGAGAATGGAGGAGAAGGGACTGTGGCATGGCCACTCCCCCTGGGGCGCGATTTTTCGCTTTCTGTCTCTCTGTCTCTCTCTGTCTTTCTGGCGAGTGCATGCACCCTATAGCAAAAACCTCTCCAGAAAAACAAAACAAAACAAAACAAAACAATAAAAAACCTTTTCTCTCTCTCTTTTCTATATGCCCTCGTTAAAAAAAAAAAAAAAGATATATTCATACAAATTTCCAAGTCCATCTCAAGTATAAAATCAACTACTAACTATGCCAATTTGTTTTGGATGTTCTTATTAATTTATATTAAGGTCAACTGCTTGCCAAGCACCATACAAGTGCCTGTGGAGGTACAATGGTTGGCCAAAAAAACAAATCCTTAACATCGAATACAAGAAACAATCAATGTAACGCCAATACACAATGAGCCCAAGTTATATGCTCTGAGGTTAAGAACAGAGTTCTGCTTCACAGGAGTATGATTTTGACTTGGAGTTTCCAAAAAAAGTCACAGCTAAACTGAGCTGAAGGATAAACAGAACCGCATTAGCCAAGGAAAAGGGGGAAAGGCAGGGAATTTCATAAAATGCAAATACACAGCAGGTGAACAGACAGTATAAGAGCCCTGGAAGGTGGAAAGAATAAGATGCAGTTAAGAACACCCATGTGACACGCATCAGAAAGAAAAACAAAGACTAGAGAAAGAGGCAGGAGCCCAGGACATGCTGAGCTTTTTATACCAAGTTAAGAAGCTGGGTTTTTGTAAGAACAGGAAGTCACTGTAGAGCATTCAACCTGACAGTGGTACATTTGCCTTGTTTAAACTTTTTTGTCAAAATTTTAGATTCACAAGAGAATGCAAAATAGTAGAGGTCTTGTGTACCAAAACTCAGCTCCTCTCAATAACCACATCTTAAATAACTACAGTATAACGATAAGGACATGGACATTGGTATACTATGAACTAAACTTTAGTCCTTATTCGAATCTCACCTACTTTTAAATTCATGTGTGCATGTGTGTGTGTGTGAGAGAGAGAGAATGTATATGAGAGTGTAATTCTATGAAGTTTCATCATCTTCACCAACTGGAAATAGCATCCACCCTGGCTGGTATTCAGCTCTGCTCCATCAGTCCAAAGAAACTCCCTCAAGCTAACCCTGTTATATCCTCCCACTAACCATAAGCCCAGCAACCACTCATCTGTTCACCATCACTGTCTCATTTCACGAATGGCACATAAATGGAATCATTCGACATGGAACCTTATGAGATTGGCTTTTCTTCATTTAGTACAATGCCACAGTGATTCATCTATGTTGTTCCATGTATAAATAGCTAGTTCTTTTTTATTGCTAAGTAGTATTCCACTGCATAGATATACCACAGTTTATCCATTTATCTGTTGAAGGACACTTAAGATGACTCCAAAAAATTCATATTTGTGTTCTGAAAAACATTTTTTGGGGCCAGAGTATGTAAATTGGGCCACTGGGTAGAGTGATTATAGAGACACCATTAAGAAAGAAATAGAAGCAGTTCAAATAGTAGGCACTAACAACTTTGGTGATTTTTACCAGAAGGGAGTGATTAAACCACCCAAGGGTCACTTGGCAACATGTGGAGACATTTTCGGTTGTCACAATTAAAGGTGTACTAGTGGCATCTGGCAGGTAATGGCTAGGGATACTAATCAAAATCCTTCAATGTATAAGTCACACACAATAATTACCTGGCCCCAAATGTCAACAGTGACAGAGTTGAAAATCTCTGGCTTAGACTATGATGATGACGGTGAAAATGGAGAAGAGTGGGAAGATTCAAGTGTGTAGATGTAAAACTCAGTGGAAAACCAGATATGAAGACAGAGACGGCGAGGGCTCCACTTCGTAATTGGATAGTTGGTGATACCATTCACTAAGCCAAGGAACAGGCAAGAGGTCAAGGTATTTAACTGATATGGTCTCTTTTCTTTGGGAGGGAGGAGGCGAGATTATGAAGTGCTTAGTATTTGACATGCTAAGTTTAAATTCCTTGAAACACCCAAGGAGAGACACTACCCAGGTCTGGGTTTTAGAGGCCACCCAAAGGTGGGTGTCGTCAGTACTGACCATCTCTAAAGCCTTTTTCTTTCTTTTTTCTTTTTTTTTTTTTTTTGGAGAGGTTTTTGCTACAAGACGCGTGAGCTTACCAGAAAGACAGAGACAGAAAGCGAGAAATCACCCCCCGGGGGCATGGCCATGATGCAATCCCTTTTCCTCCTTTCTCCTCTCGGGATCTTGGGCACACACGCACATGCGCCTGGTGTGAGCTTAAGCCACCATGCCTGGGACATGAACCACGGTCGACTACATGGAAGTCCAGCGACATAGCCATTACGCTAACTGCTGGTCCCCTCTAAAGCCATTTTCTGAGATGAGAGAATCTAAGAAGAAACTACTGCGGGAAAATATAACTTAAAACCAATCCTTGGTTTACTCAGGTATAAGACAAGCTTGCAGAGAATGAGATGACCAGAAAGATGACCAAAACAAACAAACAAACAAAAAAACCCAAAACCCCAGGAGATTGTGCTGCCCAGAAGCCAAGGCTTTGGTTTTGCGGTAGGAACGGTGCGGTAGAACTGTAACAGCATCAAACGCGGCGTAGAGGCCAAACAGGACATCATCTGAAAGGCGAACGGACCTGCCCAACTGCAGATGAACTCAGAGCTAGTGCCAGGGCAGGAGCGGGGATAAAGTCAGCCTGAACTGGACTGAGCAACGGCAGGCGAGACGAATATGTCCACCGCCTTCCAAAAGTGTAGCTGGGATTGTAAGGAAGGATCGACAGCACTAGGAGAGGAAAGGAATCCTGGAGACCAAATCCATTAATTCAGTATCTAGACGCCAAAGGCAGAAAACGGGGACCAAAATGCCCTCTCTGGAGCTACCGCTTCATCTCCTCAGGTGTTACCCGGCCATTCATCCTCCTACCATGGTTGGTGGGCCGTCATATTTAACCATAATCCTGATCCTTAATGGCAAAGAACTTGCACAATGCATACAAAGCCATAGCATGGACTAAATGATCATTTCTTTCAGTGTTTAAGAGCTTTGCTATTTGTAAATCGGCTTACTGCAGGACTGGGGTAAATTCTGCATGCATAAACATACCAGTGTCTATTAAAAACAAAACAAAAAAATCCCGCTATGATAAGACAACCCTGAAGCACTGGAGTCGGTAAAGGTTTTAGGTCTCCAGTCTCTGAACAAAAAGTAGAATTAATGTATCAACATTAAGGAAAAAGTGATGGAAATGGCTTGGAAAGTTGAACGAGGTCTGTCTCTGACCATCCTGTATTCTTTCCATTTGTTTTGTGCCTTGTTTTGTAGAAACAAAGAAGAGAGAGAGAGAGAGAGAGAGAGGAAGGAAAGGGGAAAAGCAGATGGTTACTTATAAGGATACAAGATACACTTTAAAACATGAAGCCATTACTTCTGTGGATACACTGGTGCTTCACATAGCCTCTACCACCAGGCAGTGAGCACGGTTGCAGAGTCTGAGTTTTCTCTCCAGTCTCAGCTCTGATCCTAAAATAAACTTCTATAATTGTTCACTGAGTTAAGGAGTGGCTGCACAGGAGTGAGACTAGGACGTCAATATGCATCACAAACACAGAAATGCACATGCGGTCTCAAAATAACTACTTCGAGTGTTGAAAGTCCCCCTATATACACACTCATCTAGGACATGGGCTACCCTGCAAAACTGCCTGAAGCGGGTCCCAAGACCAAACAATGAGCCCAGAGAGTGCAAAAGTCCTCCGGAGCGGCGCTAGACACCAATCAGGGGAATGAGCTTCGTCCCGTTGCCGTCCGGTTGGTTTGTCGACTCTTGGGCCTCCAGGGTCGGAGTGGCCTCCCCTCAGGCTCTGCCACGTCTCCAGGCCGGGAAGGGCCGGGCTAAGGTCCGTGGGCGTGTGCCGCTGGTGTCTCCTGCAGCTAGCGCGCTGGACCGGGGGTCCGATGACCAGGGGTTCGGGCCTCGGTCCCTGGACAGAGTCGAAGGGCGGGTCGAGACCCCCCTGAACCGCACCCACAGTGCAATCCCGGCGGGAGCTGCTCGCCACGCCACGCTCATGCCTGCCTACTGCTCCCCGCACAGTTCCACAACTGGCGCCCGGAATACGCGACGGGGGGCTCGGAAACGACCCTCGCATCCTGCGGCGCCGGCCGACCCGCCCATCTTCGGGGACTGCACCCTTCGGGGTCTGGCTCTGGCGCCCGCATCCCATGCCACCGCCCTCGTGCACGCGCGTCGCTGCCAGGCTGACGCTCACCTGGGGTCCCGAGAGAGCTTGCGTGGCAGCTGAAGAGTGGGGATGGGGAGGTCGGGGTGTAGGGTTAGGGCTTGGAGGAGACTAGTAAAATGCAGCCCTGAGCCGTCCCTGCTCGCCCCGCCCCAGCTCGCCGGGTCCCCGCGCACGCCCCCCTCCGCCTCCCGCGCTCGCCCCGCCCTGTAATCATCCCGCCCGCCTGGCACCGTCCTTTAGACCTCCTGGCACCGTCCTTTAGACCTCCGTGGCCTTCTGGGTCTGGACGTCGTGCTCTGCCTCTCCTGCTTCTACGAAGCGCTCTGCAATTAGAGCTGCGCTCCTGTCCACACGGCAGCGCCCTGAGATGGAGCGGAGTCAGCCAAGGTCATCCAGCCCAGTGATCAGTTCTAGGGAGGACCCCGCTCCAGATGCAAGAGACTGAGCCAGTATGGTTTCAGAGATGTGCAGAAAGTAGCGGTTGTATCTGGGGAGAGGGGTCCGGGGAGAGAGGAGAAAAGGAGCAGTTCCCGTACTAATTGTTTCCTAAGTACCTGTGTTGCAGATTCTTTGTAAATTGGAAGAACAAAGACAAAGATTGTCAACTTTCTTATTATATACTGCACCTAAAAAAAAAGGCCCTAAGCCAGTTGATGTTTCATAAACTGCATTAAATAAATCAATAAATGGAGTCCAATGGGAGAAAATAGGAATTTGGGTCTGGGAACAGTCCTAATGCCATTTTCACAGTTGCATACCCTTGTACGGTCACTTACTCCCCTTAGGTCTCCATGACTCCTTCTGTGAACTCTTATTATCCACCCTCCTAACTCAGGTGGTAACAGAGTCAAATAAAGCATATGAAAGCGCTTTTTAACCTTAGTGTTAAATACATGAGAAAATGCTGTTTCTGTTATTTTCCAAATTAAATTTCCTCTAGGAACTCATTCATAGATTTAGTATTAGTATCTTTTTTATAAGTATTTATTTCATGTTATTTATTATTTTTAAAAGTTTACCAGAAAAGGAAAACAAGAAAGCAAGCTGCCAGATGTAGGATTTGAACCATGGTTGCCCATGTGGAAGTCCAGCTCCTTAACCACCACATCATCTGACAACCACATTAGTATCTCTCTTTTTTTTTTTTTGGAGAGGTTTTTGCTATAGGGCACATGCGCTCGCCAGAAGGACAGAGACAGAGAGAAATCACCCCCTAGGGGGGATGGCCACCTTGCAATCCCCTCTCCTCCATTCTCCTCTCGGGATCTTGGGCATGTGCACACATACACCCAGTGTGAATTCAAGCCACCGGGTCAAGGACTTGAACTGCATTCGACTATATGGGAGTCCAGCGACATAGCTGCTACGCTAACTGCTGGTCCCTATCTCTTGAACTTGACATTTACAAGCATTCTAAAATATCACACTGAAGTTACTACTGCTTAACTGTGCTGGGCCTTCACATCTTGCTCTGCAATCACAATTGCTTGTTTCCTCTGGTGGTGACTCTCTTATCCTAGCCACCGAGGATGTGTGTAGGTGGCCATCCAGGTTACTCCCCAGAGAGCACTGTTTGGGGTGGTGCTGGAAATAGGAGATAACCACCTCTGTCCTCTTTGGCCAACACCCTTAATAGCTATAAGGTATGCTGGTTTCTTCACTCATTCATGAAGTATTTATTAGTGGTTACATGTAGAATGTTGGTACTCAGCACAAAATCAGCAGCAAACAAGACAGACAGGGCCTTGACATATAGAGAGCTTTTCTTTTAAAGGAGAGAGAGGCTATGAATAAGAAAATAAAGGAAGTACTCTGCAATGGGCACTTCAAGGAAGATAGACGAGTGTTATGTTATAGACATTAAATTAGGATAGACACTTCAGGTAGGGATGAACTAGCATGGCCTCTCTGAAGGCGTGAGATTTGAGCAGACACCTGTAGGGAAGCAGGCCTGGTTATCTGGACAGAAGAAGAGCATGCAAAGGTGTGAGGAGAGAGTGTTTATCACATGTGTGGAACAGCAGGAAGCTGAGACTGTAACAGTGGTGAGAAAACAGACTCCTAGCCTGAGTGGTGCAGAGGCAAGACACCTCTGCAAGGGGCTGGGATCATGAAAGGGCCAGACTGGGGTCTACCAACCTCAACAGACAGTGCGCAGCAGGGGCGTTAAGTGGGAGGCTAGGCAGAGGATCTTAACGGAGAGAGCCTGTCAAAAATCTCATCTCTCTCCTCCTGTTATACGCCCTCTTGTTTAAAAAAGAAAAAGAAAAAAAAAAGAGAAACAGAGAGTGTAGCAGCTTGATCATATCCAGCCTTGAAGGACACAGTGAAGCCTGTGGGTTACATTCTGAGAGAAATGGGAAACACGTGGAGGGTGTTAAGCAGCTGAAGACTTGACAGGTCATACGGTATAGAGTAGAACATTGGCTTTGCTACGGAACAACCCGGATTGGAATTTTGGCTCTAATACCTGCACAAAAGGCTAATATCCTTTTTGGCATGTCGCTTAAACAGGCATCATGATAATTCTAAATTAGAAAGAGATGGAATCATTAATCTGCAAAGTACTGCAGCAAATAGCATACTTAGTATTGAACAACATTTCACTGATGGTAACAAGGTGAAAACAGAATTTTTTTTTTCAGTTTGTTCTAGGGCGTGTGTACGTACCTGAGACAGAGGGCGAGGCAGTGAGAAATCACCCCCCCCCCGGGGGGGAATGATATGCTGCAACCCCATCTCCTTCATTGCCCTCTCAGAATTTGGGGCTTGCTGCACATAGACCTGGTGTGGTTTTCAAGTCGCAGGATCTGAGACTCCAACCATGAAGGATCCAGCCGCCTTAGCCACCAGCCACAAGCTGGCCCCAAAAGATTTCTTTTTTCTTTAAACATGAATAAGCACAACTATTCTTTTTTGTAGTAAAAAGTCCTGTTGGGGATAGCTCCATGGAGCAGTAGTAATGTACTGCTCAGGAGAAGCTGGATCCCACAGATCAAAGTGGTTCGAATCCCTGCCCTGGTCAGCCTTGAACAGGCCAGGCAAACATGAGCTGAAGAGCAGATGAGCTAGAGTCCTGGAGAAGGAGATTGTGCTGTGACCAGACCCCATGTCGGATCTCTCTCCCTCCCTCTCTCTCTCTCTCTCTCTCACACACACACACACACACACATGCATACACTGTGTGATAGAGGAAAAAATTTCCTTTCTGAATAATGCAGTTCTTAGTCCTTGTACCTTTCTTTCGGAAGCTTTCCTTGATTTCTCCAGTCCATGGCTTTGAACAACATGTATATGCTGACAGCTCCATTTGTATATACCCAGCTCTAATTCCTCTCCTACCCTCTACAGCTGTTCAATAGCTTCACTTTGGTGTTCAACTAGGAAGCTCGTTAAAACTCAGTTTCCCCCAAAATATCCTGCTCCTTTGAACTCTTCCTGTTCAGTAAATGCCAACTCTGTTTTTCCATTTGCTCCGGTAACGAATTCCTTGGGTCAAAGTCAACATCACCCGCAGTAAGATAGTGTGATAGAAGGTGCCCTTGGTACCATGTAATGAAAATGGCACCTTTTCTCTGTGGTCTTCCCCCTGAGCCCATAATCCTAGGGTAATTATGAAAATGGAGGGATAGTCTACAATATGTCTCAAACTCCCGAAAACAGAGGAAATCTGCGAGACTGTTACAGCCAGGGAGATCATGGTGATTATGAAAATGGAGGGATAGTCTACAATATATTTCAAACTCCCGAAAACAGAGGAAATTTGCGAGACTGTTACAGCCAGGGAGATCATGGTGGCTGGATGTAACGTGGTATGGAAATGAAGACCACTGAAATGAGCTTGGTATAGCAAGGGAGTGGGCCACCATCACTTGTGTTTGGCAAACACTCAAAGGCAGAGACTCAGAGGAGCAGAAAAGCTTTACTGTGCACAAAGCAGATGGCGTTGGGGCTGGCAGGTGGCATGATAGTTAAGGCTCCGGACTCCCACATGGCTGACGACAGTTTGAGTCCTGGACCTGGAGGCTTGCTTTCTCACTTTCCCTTCTTCTCTTGCTGGTCAAATGAAAAACTAATAATAGCGAATAAAATAATTCTTAAAAAACAAAAAAGAGACAACTTCAGTCATGCACTGATTGAAAGCTGTTGGCATGAAGAAGCTGCAGGCAGGCTAACCGGAAACAAGGCATCTTACGTGGTTGGGTAAGGATACAAATCTGGCTTTCTCTGGTTGATCCTACGTTGGAATCTAGGGTGAAAATTAGGGAAGTTGTCTATTATTAATCACGTTCTGGCCATTTGGGGCCACTTGCTGTAAGACTTGTTTGACTTCTTGGACTAGCTGCTACAGGGTGTGAGTCGGAGTCCTATTTTTGTGTAGATGCTGGCCATTGTCCACTTATATACTCAGTCTCTCAAGAGTATGTCACATGTGATCCTGGACCAGAAAAAGGATGTTGGGTAAAAACTAAGAAATTAAACAAAAGTATGAATTTCATAATAATATAGAAATGCTGATTTCTTACTTATAACAATTGTACATACTGACGTAAGATGATATTAATAGGGACATCTGGGGGTGGATAATACGGGAACTCTGCCTATAGTCTCAGTTTTTCAAAGATCTAAAACTGTTCTAAAGATAGGTTGAATTAAGAAAAAAGACCAACCTACCTGGGTGTCATCCTTAGCTCCTCATTTCTTCTCAGATTCCACCTGCAAGTCCTTTAGCAAATCCTGCCAGCTCACTTTAGAAACTCCGTCAGCATTTGGCTAGTCCCTCCAGTCTACAGCTGCCCCTGTAGCCTGCCTTCATCATCTCTCACTTGGGAACCTTCATTAGCTTTGCAATGGCCTCCGCTCAGGCCTCTCCACGGTACTTTTCTACAGAGCTTTTCCTTGGCCCACAGCTCCTCATGACCCAATGCTTGGAACCTCTCTGCCCTCATTTCCCACCATCTTTCCTGCCATCCGTCTGCTCATCCCACTGGCCCTGTGCTATTTCTCAGATGCACAACCCACTCAGGCCATGAGCCTTTTGCATCTCCTCTTGCCAAATAGGAGCCTGCATCCTCGTGCCATTCCAGTCCCATGGACGCCTTCCTAAATGCCCTGCTTTATGTTTCTGCACACTT